GGGTGGGTTGGGTTGGGTTGCCATGGGTTGGTTGTAGTGAACCAAAACCTAAAATTGATAAGGTTTGTCCTGGAGAGTGAGTTCATGGGTTTGCATTAGGAGTAAAGTACTTTTTGTTTAGTTGCTGGGTATAGTCAAGAGTTTTCAGTTGTATTTTCCTGATTATTAATTATAATTTAATTTTCAACATTTTCACCGTAAAGCTCAATAAAGTAGGAAGTAATGATTATGGAAAGATAAAAACCCTGGGTCAGCATTTTTATTGTTTCAAAACTGCAACCTCTGCACATTCTCAAAAGTGCATTGGCCCACCTTTCTCTACCACTTATATTGTGCATACAGCAGTTGATGTCTGAAAGTGCAGCTTTTAAGACAGACACAAAATAAGAGATGCACTGTTGCACAAACTACACTCTGTAAAATAATTTGATGTCCTTCCCCCCTGACTTAACAGTTGGTGAGCCTCAGTTTCCGCCTGCTCTTGGTAAATAAATATATGCAGGTACCATGCTGTGCAAGTGGTTGCTGCATGTCAAGTGCTATTATAACAAAGTTGAACATCTTTTTACAACTGAAATTTGACAGAATGAGTGAGACTGAATGAAACATAAGAATTTAGTTTCCTCCATGTACCGTGCATATATGACATGTATTGCTTGCGAGATTATTTGGAATTGCATTTTTGAAGTCATTTTGGAAGATTTGCAAACATTTGCCTACATTCAATTGGTACATTTTGCATTCAGATACATGTACAAAAAAAAGGACTGTGGCAATTTCCATTAAATGAAAATTGCATGCAGTGGGGAGAAGGGCCTTACAGTCGACCAAGTAGGTAGGACATGTACTGGTACCTTGCTGATCTCAAAGATTTGTGAGCAAAATATTGTCAAATTAATGGACAGCAACTTTACACAATGCATGCTTTGGTTTGTTTGATATCGGCATCAGTTTGCCATGTTTCACTCCTGCAAATGATAGTACATACATAGTATGTTTTTGGGATGCGTCGCGTACATGACGCGTTCATGCGTTTCATTTTCACGGACACAAAAATCAACTCCATTAACACAACACAAGTGTGCATTGCGTTTGGCCGTCAAAATCACCCCGGGAGCAGTTCTGACAGATACGCAACGCTTGGCGCAAGTGTGGACGCGCACATGGAAAGGCGCTTTACCCTTTTTCTCTTCTGAGTGTCCAGACTAGTTCCTTTCCCCGTAGTTCTTCTGAAGGTTATACTTTGTTGTCTCCAAGTCTCATACGAAAGGGACAAGGCTTATTCTGTTGCTGCCCCCTTGCTGTTCAACAACCTACATGTACACCATCACATTAGGAACTCATGCAGTGTATCATCATTCAAATCTGCTTTCCAGAAACATTCCTCATGTTCCTCATGTCCTCATGTCATAGCCAGCTGTCTTTCATTTCAATTTTGTACCTTGTGTCTTGTGGCAATGTAGCGTTATATAAATGCATTTCTTATTGTTGGACCATTTGCATGTATCTACTCTTTAATGACAGATCAAGAGACAAGTTTCCAGGGAGGGTGCCAAACTTGTTGGGGGGCCAAAAATTTTGGAATTTTTTTTTCCTGTAACGTCGATAGTCTTTCTAGGGGCGACACTACAATTGTGGGTTCTGTATACACTTTGGGAAGAACAAGAAGCGAAATAGAGCCCCCACCCTGCTTCCCTTGCATTTTTGTTGTATTTTTTCAAATACTTTTGTTTCATTTAGGGGAGCGGCCCCCCATCTCCCCTTGCCTACTCTCAAGAGTTTGTGTACAATGTTTGACATTTTATGCTGCAACCTCAAATCTCTCAACACTGAAGTGATATTCAATACTATAATAGGCCAAGTAGAGTGTTCAACTTCAACACACAGTCTGTCTATGTAGACATTGTGGGTGTGAGAGTGCAAAATAAATGGCGGGGATGAGTAATCACTTCTTTCACCAAAGGCTCAGAAAGCTGGATGGTTTACTCTACCCACTGCCCCATAGTGTTTACCGTATATGGGATCTAGCATGAACCTGTGAAATGTCACACTCAAGAAAGGGGAAATTTTAAACATAAACATACAGACGTGATGAATCTGTTTGATAGATACACTGCCTGTATGAGATTTTGAAACCTGTACAGTGAAACTCCAGGGCAGAGGGGTACAAAAAGTGATGACTTTGAGGGTGAGCCGATGGGTGGATTGCTCAGCCAATACTCCGTGGGATGGGTTGTTTTGGAAACTTACTTTGTTCTTGCGTACAAACATGTGTTTGTAGCCTTCGAAAATGTACTCATGACTTTTTCATGTCCTTTACTTCCCTCGTTCTTGAAGAGTGCCTCTAAACTGAAATATTTTGAGATACATGTACATGTATGTAAATTTTTCACTGTGTTTAATACCAACCATGTCTTATCGTTGCTAATGTTTCCTTCAAAACATACCACACCCATGTACATGTATCCATGACAGACCTAAAACTCTCACTGGAGCTCAAAGATACGAAAAAGTAGAAAAAGAAAGTGATACAGGATATCTGTAATAATACGCTGGCAGTTGCATCACTCGCTATTCAAGGACAAGTCAGTGAACTTCACCACAACTGAGTGGATTGCTTTACTTGCAGTTTGAATGGAAGAGCATTGACCAGCTGGTAGCATTTGAATGGGAAAGAGTTTTGAAGTACTGGTGGGGGAATTTCGGCTTTTTAAGCAGATGAAAATGAAACAAAAGCTGAAGTCGGAAACATCTACCACTGTATAATTAAGAACAATATTCTTGTAGTGTTTAATTGCAAAATTTTGTTAAGACCATGGCCGCTCCTGGCAACCATTCCTTCTCTGATCAGCCAGAAAATCTACTCTTCTTTAATACTTTAATACTTTATTTATAGGTTCCTATAAATAAAGTGGATATGCTGGCTGATCAGCTTCTGAAAAAGAAGGGCTGCCAAGAAATGGACAAAAATTGTAATTAAACACTTTTAGTCCAAGTTTACTTGTATTCACGACCTCAAGTGTATGTGATTTTTTTGTGGTTGTAAAACCAACAATTTAATATCCACAGTGAATTGTTGTCCAGAAGCCTTGAAAAAAGTCTGAGGACACTTCGTGGTTCATCCATCAACTTTAAGGGTGGTAGCGGAAATACAAGAAATTACACACCAGGGAGAAAAAAAATTAACTTGAGACAAAATGTGACCTTCCTTTACAATCCCATGCTGAAAACTTTTTAACTATTGTTTGGGAAATGAAAACCCAGCATATGTACATGAACAATGCAAATTCTGCAACTTTCTCAGCCTGGAACCATCAAAGCTTTCTGTCTGCAGACAAAATTTGCAATATGGATCACTTTGAAGCATTTGATATTATCAACCATGATAAAAATGCATTACTGAACTAAATGACGAAAAATGGAGTAAGAGGTACCATGCTTGATTGGTTCAGAAAGGATTGTGCCTTTCAACCCATACCGTAAGGTGTCCCTCAAAGAGCTATTTTAGAGCCCATGTTCTCTTTTATGTAAATGAGTCACATGTACCTCACCCTTCTTAATCTCTTGAAATTGTTTTTATTTGTAGACAAATTCAAATACCAGTATATCTTAGAGTAATGGATATAAAAAGGAAGAAGTGTCGGTCATAGAATTAGAATTACTTTTAAAATGGATGATTTAGATAGGTTGTCAGTCAATCTTACAAAGACATGTTGCATGATGTTTTCCTGTAGGTGTCTAGAGAGCAACTGCAACATTATCTTTCATAACACTTTAATTCTGAGTATGACCTTCTTAGGAGTGATAATAGATTACAAGCTTACCTGGAAGTATCACTGTCAGAAGATGCATTTATCGATTTCCCGTATCCTTGGAGTACTCTGGAAACTTGGAGATATGCTACCCAAGGAAGCATAATATTCTAAGTATAAAACACTTTCATCTTACCACAACTTCAGTATGGAATGTTAGCATGGGGTAGTCCTGGTAGTAACTTATCCAACTTAAATGAACTTTTGGTTGTACAGACGAAATTGCTTGGAGTAAAAACTATTCTGATTATAGGGCACACACTGCCCCCCTTTTTCAAAAATCTAATACACTCCCCCCACATGCACCAGTGTTATGAAGGCATCATATTTAAATATAACAGTTATGTTTGACCTCTTTAACGTTCGGGTCTCTTCACAGAGAATTACAAAATCCATCAGTCTAGTACGAGAAATTCTAGAAAATTACATTTTGATGAGGCAAGGACGTCAATATACATGTACTGGTATTTCTTCACAGTCACACATACAGGACCTATCTAAAACAGAATTTCTCCTCTTCCCCCTTTAAGAAATATGTCAAAAATAGTCTCTTCAGTGGTTCTTTTCAGGAATAATTAGTTTTGTTTAAAATGCATGTTGTTCCACAATGTTTTGCTTTGATTCAACAATTACATTTAGATACAGTAAGTTACTTATTTGTTAATTGTGAATGTATTACCTTTGATGTATGGGTTTTATTTCTGGGGTTTTGGGGGGTTTTTTTGGTTTAATTCATTCAATTGAGCTTAATGTAATCGCCTGTTCTCGTGGGGGGCATGGTCAAGTACATGTACATGTATAAACTTACGTTTTCTGCCAGCCACAAGTGTTCATTGTTCACTGTTTTGCATTGCAAACCGTAGTGTTTAAATTTGTTCATAATGTCAAGAATTATGGCTGAATCAATACAAATAATTCTCTATTGGATATTTGACCTTTAATTTGATCAAATATTAGGTCTTACTAACCGGCAGATTGTTGATGAATAAACCATGTACAAAATCAGTTGCAATAACACGAACAATTGTACATTATATTCAATATAATAGCTGCTCATGTCTAGGAGTATCTCCAGCCACAATTTAGCTAGATTTAAGAGACAAACAATACTTCTTGTCCTGTTGGAAATTGCTATTCCTTTTATAATTTTTTACCCTAACCCCTGGGGAGAATGTAAAATCATATTGAAATCGGTGATTTTGGATTGTAGGGATAGCTATTGAATAATTTATATTTTCATTTGAAAATCTGCTGGAAACAAGCCTCCATGGTGCAATTTTTCTCATTTAAAAGCAAAAGAAAATTCTCTGATTTCATGGATTTTGCATTTGAATTTTCAAATTTGAAAAAAAATTTTTAGTATTCGATAATCGATCGATAGATATTCGGCACAGCTCTGTAAAGAATGATTTTGGAATCAATCAATCAAAAGCATGAAAAGTTATAGGAGAGGAGAGGAATTGGCATACATTTAAATTACCTACATGTACATGTACTTGAGTCTGAGTTTCAAATGGTATGTCAAAAGTTCTTTATCCGTTTGCTGCCCTTTCGAGGGATTCAAACCTGGGTCATAGGACTTGAAGGTGTAAATCTATCCCCACAGTAAACTGACTCACATTGACTTGGTAAATTTTGACATGAAATTTACATATATAATTTTTGCATTGCAGATACTCACACACGGCACATGTGGTAGGCAGCAGTCTCCTTCTTGTAGGCGGGGTCAACCCCCTAGGTGGACAGGGTTATACAATCGCTGTGGTTGATTTGGAATCTGCAACATGGCGACTGCATTCCTTACCAGTAAGCACACCGAATATTTCTTTGGTCTCCGTGCACTAACATAACATGGCTCTGTGTGACCACCCATTCTATTATCTTAGTTGTAGGACCGTTCCCATGTTGTACATTGTGGGGACCCAAAACAGTGTAGGGACAGGCCAAACTCCCACAATCCTGTCCAAATTTTCTAAGCAAAGGAAAACTTCCCCAGCACAGGGCCAGAGTACTCACAAGACCTGCATTATGTATAGTGTGTAGGATGAAAATGTATTCACACACAGGTTTCCATGCAGTTGATGAGGTACCATACCCTGACTAATTTTGTCTTGATGGGCGCTTTGCTGTTGTTTTTTTTACATGGGTGCTGGAAGCATGTGTTTTGGTATCTGTGATATCTGTCAGTCTCGCTGGATGGGGTAAAGTTTAGTTCACTCTTCAAAGGCATACTTGAATTAGATTATATGTTGCAGATTTGAAAGGGCTTGGAAATCAGGAGGTTTGGGGTATGCAGAATTGTCTTGATATTACTTACAAGACTTTCAGTAGACTTAGGAGAATGAGATTCTTACATTCATTGAACAAAGTTGTATGACCGTTATTTTCCCACAGGTGCCCCAGTTGTCATTATCCACTTTATGCACAAACACCCCATCACCAGTGACTTGTAGAATGGCTGGAATGACACTCTAACACCATTGGTGTTAGATACTCAGCACCCAAGTGTTACACTACATATTTGCAAAATTACTGATACATGTACAGTTGCACCAGACTAAGGAAGAAGCGCACAAATGCAGTGTGTCACCTGAGGGAATCATTGCTTGGTCCAAAAAGATAATTCCTATTATGTTCACATGTGGAGCCCATACCTCTCAGGAAATAATTGTTGTAAAGTGACTTGCTTAAGGGCAGAAACTGTATTATCTCTTGACACAATTAGTTAATGAGTCTGGTTGTTTAAATAATATTGATTGTGCACTCTGCACAGTGAAATGGTCGACAACTGTTTAAACGTTTTGACTGTCTTCATATTGTAATTTTTTTGAAGGCTTGTGTTGTAGAGCGTCCCCTCATGGTTCACAGTCACACTAGTGAGTTGCTAACAGACACCAGGATGGCTATTCTGGGAGGAGGTGGAAACTGCTTCTCATTTGGCACACACCTTAACGATACTCCTGTAGAGATCGGAGTGCCCCTTTAACATCAAGAAGCTACCTCCCGCTGGGATTATCTCGAGGGGAGAACCCATGTTACTCCATGCAGCACTAAGCCTTGTCCTTGGCCTTGGCTTTGCTCCTAGCCTCTGCTCCAGCTTGGGCATCAGTTTTGGTTGCAGATATTAACTACAGGCTGTCAGCGAAAATCTTCCAAATTCCTACTTCATGCCAGACAGTCTGATTTTCCTGAAGCAGGAAACAGAGAACTGCAGTTGAGCTCTAGGGTCTCAACTCAGGGGAGGGAAGTAAATTCATGAAACTGAAACCTAAACCTGAAGACAAGACTAATGTTTGTGAGCTGACAGAGTTAATGACACTGTTTATGCTGAGTGTCTTTAAAGGGGCAAATAGCAAACAGAAACTCTACTCTAATGAGTAAGTTTGGTATTTGGACAGTGCATGCTCAAAATTAAGGACATCCAGGGGTGTACCCAGGATTATTGGAAGGGTCCGAAATACAGTGGCTTGATCCTTGGGGAGTCCCCAGACTAGTCCAGGGAATGGTCCCAAGGGAAGTTTTTTAAAGGACATCAAATCATGCAATATGTTGCATTTCAAATGCCCCAAAAGACAAATCTTAGCATCTGGGGATCATTTTCAAGCAAGGATTTTCTTGTCTGAGGATTGCTCCCCCTCCCCTGCACCCACCCTTGGCACCATAGGTCATTTGAGAACATCAATACACATGTCACGGTGGTAGTACAGCAACTCACATGCACAGATTATGTTCCAGCTGGTGTGATGTCAGCTGTTTTTTTTCTCAAACGATTGAAATACCGAAGTGGCTCATTTTAAGAGAAATCTTAGAGAAGTCCAGGTTATGTCAAGACAGCCTGTTCAGCTCAAGGGGGCTGGTAGTGTGTTGGTGGAAAGAATCACTTGGGTGCAGTCTGTGTGTAAAAGTCAGGGATACACAAGTTTAGTCTGGATTTCCTTCTTCACTTAAGGGGGCAGACAGCAACCTGCATTCCTACCTCCGATGATGGAAGGCAATATAGGAGTAAAAAGTCTCATAATTTTACTCAGACTGGGTGTTCTTTTAACCGCATGCTTCATTTTTGTACAAACTCATTTCACTTTGTGGTCCTTGTCTCTTCAAGTTAAAAATTGTACTTGATGGGAGCTTCACCTGTAACGCATTAAATTTTCTTACTGTGACCTTTACTGTGTTCCTTTAACAAGGTTGAAAAGGTTCTACATTTACCCATTATCACCAGACTAAAGTGAAGTTCCCACAGATTCAATTTCTAAAAAGCCAACAAACATTTCAGTATTTTGTGAAGTGAAAACGTTTTTTATCCAGAAATCAAATCAGCTAACGCACCAGATTCCCACTTCACAACAAAATGTAAATCAGTCATCTGGAGACATGGGCATCTGTTGGTGGGCTATGGTAGGGAGACATGTCGGCTCTGTTTCAAGCGCTATCTTGATTTGACCACAGAAGCCCTCATCCCAGGTGTGTTGGCCTTGCCAACCTATATATCCTACACCAAACACTTCTGCAAAGCACTCGATGCCCGTGTCTAGAGATACTGTGAAAGCATTCCCAAATACATTTACAACTAAATACATAGAGTTGTGACATCATAACTATTAGCCAGTAATTCCAAATGCAGTTATATCTGTCAAGTAATATGTGCTCTGTTTAATTTGGCTAATTTGCGCTGTGTATACAGAAATTTAAAATGTGATAGATGCCATGTGAAACCTCACCCATAACATTATAATTAGCGTATAAAACCTTCAACTTTCTTAATCATTGGTAAAAACACAGGACCTTTGATGTTGATAAACAATTTGCCACTCATGGTTTAAGTAGATTAGAACACCTGTGTCAAGTTGCATCTGCTTCTATTTGACAGATGTGTGCTGTACATACCTATGTTCTATAACGCACTTTATTTTACATTTGAAGCAAGATGTGGGACGGAGAGAAACCTCCCCCCCCCGCCTTCGTGTTGGTCATTGTTTGATCGGAATCTCAGGAATTCTTTACAGACCTCGGGGGAATGTGTTAGGTAACAATAGTCTACAGTGTGTATAAGGATTGGACAGGTAAGGGGGGTACCCCTCCGTCCCATATCTTGCCTGGTATATTACTTTAAACTCGACCATAATGAAGATTGATTAATAAACTTAGAGTACTTTGTTATATTTCACACTCGTTAACTCCTTTCCCATGTCCCCTGTAATTGCAAGGTGAAGACATTTGCTTATAGTCATCAGTTTTTATATTGAAAATCAGAAAAGACAGTCCAAATTTGGAGAGTAGACGTCTCAAACGAAACCCCCACTGCGTGTGGTTGTGAGACTGGTGTGAAAGTCAGTTCGCGTGCAAGACCAGACATGGATGGCTACGTGCCTAGCGATTTGATAGTCGGGACAGGTACTGGAAGTGATCTGACGTTTTCGGAATGCCGCTGTGTTTATTTCTTGAAACCTGCCCAAACTCAGAGTAGTAGTCAGAAATTTAAATGGAAAGTGACAACTCAGATTTCACCCGAAAAGAGCCAAGTTATTTTGGCCCCTGTCACAGCCAGTTGGGGGCGGATTCAGCCCCCCCCCCCAGAACTCGGCTGTGCCATGCTGGATTGTTAAAACTGATCAAACATGTAAAGACACTCCTTATCAGTATACATGTGGAGTTTGAACTTGTGGGCTATATGGTTTTTTTATGATCACTTGAAGTTCAAGGCTACGCTTGTGCCAGTGCGCGTGCATTGAGCACCACAGCGAAAAAATATATACACTTGGCTGACCTGTCTCGGAAAAATGGGCGCTGCGCCACATGGTTTGTTCACTTTTCACAAAACTGGTCTCAGAATGACTGCGCAAAGTCACTCTAAAAGCCCTTAAAGGCTGAGCTCTTTAACAAACAGGCACTGGGTTAAGCAGTGACGTGCGCGTCTGCACAGTTTCCTAAATCCCTTTCCCCCCTTCAGATTAAAGCAGTAGAGTCAGTAGCGTGAAGTTGTGCCAGAAATTGGGGGATATATAACACCCTACCCTCCCCCAATTTACGCTCAAGGGTAGAGTAGTGGTGAAAACTTTGTGGGCCGGATCGGTGGCTAATGGGGCCTACATGGATTTTACCAACTTTCAAAATCTCTAATAAGACTTCAGCATCAGCCGCATGTGATTTTTGTTGAAGATGCCCCTCGCTCAAAGGATGTATGAAGCCCGATGGCCAATACATTCGTTCTGTTTCACATACTTCGAAAAAATAGAGCAGTTTCCCCGCGGGGAATTTCCGAGGCCCGTCCCTTTTTCTAAAGACTCTGGAAAGGATCCTTTCCCAAATTTGAACGGAGTTGGTCAATTACATCGTTATGTGCTGTACAGTGTATTTGCAAAAGGCAATAGCACACGTTATAGAAATAGAACTCTATCCACAGTCAAAACACAGTACTGGGAGTATCGTCCTGCATCTTTGGTGGAAGTAATTCGTTGAAGTATGGTTGAAGTTAAACGTAGAAGCCGCTTCTGCTGCAAAATTGTCTTCGTCTCATTGCCTTGAGAAACTCTGAGGGTTCTGGGATGCTGTCCCACTTCCGCCGTATGATGCAACCGAAGACAACATGGAAGACACGATGCTTGGTGGCGTAGATCAGCGGGTTGATGCAACTGTTGAAGACCAGGATCGCCGAGGCGTAGGGAAGGAACGGGTCGCTGTCGTCGTAGAAGAGGCAGATGGCAAAAGGCGTCAGGCAGACCATGAAGGCACAGACGATGTAGAACATGTTCTTGGTGATCTCGTTCTGGCTTCGGTTGACTTTGGCTGCATTCAAAGTTCCGTGCGGGGTTGGCGACCGGCGCAGAGAGCGTCCCTTCGTGGCGCCCACAGAATCACACACAGTGGAAAGGTTCATGGACGCGGACTCGGTCGTCTCCTCTGATGAGGTGGTCACATTCCTGGCGTGGCGGCGTAGATGTCTCCAGATCAACACGTAACAGACGAGGATTGTGACGAGCGGTAGTGGGTAAAGTCCGCCGGCGATGATGAGATCGTAGTCGTTGGAGCGCTCATGCGAGGAGGTGAATCCGCAATGGTGGTACTTTCTGTTGTATCCCACCTCGCCGACGTCAAGGAGTGGAGGCACAAGGGTGAACAGGAATGGAACGAGCCAAGTGACCACCAGCCAGGCAGCCATCTTCTTCCGAGTGTAGATAGCGTGGTAGGTTGGTGGACGAGTTATCAGCAGCAGACGCTGCAAACCGATGGCAGCCAGCGTGTAGGTGCTGCAACCGATGGTCGTGGACTGAACCACGGCTACTACGCTGCAGACCCACTCACCGAACGGTGGACCGTCTCTGCCGAGCGCAGCGGCCGCATTCCAGGGTAACACGAGGCACGTTAGCAGGTCTGCTACGCTCAGGCTCACCACGAACGCGTTGGTGGCTGTGCGCAGCTTCTTCGACAGAAGCACGGCTATGATGACCAGAGTGTTTCCGAAGATTCCAAGCAAGGCCATGATTAGGTACAGGATAGCGACTATGACTCGCTGCTTGTAATCGCTGAATTCAAACTGCTGCGGAGTACTGTCGGTTGAATTGTACATCATTTCCTCGCTCATCAAAACTTCATCATAATATATGTCATCCATATTCTGTGGATACGATTTCCCTCGCACGTGTACGGCCGCCAAAGCGATCTGGAGTAGGCCTACAAACTGAACTGAGCTCTTTCTGTAAATGTGTACGTTCAAACTGTTCGGATAACTTTCCCGACACAACTTTTTTTATACAAGCGAATGCAAGCTCAGTGTAGCAAAACTGAAAACTGACAAGGTGGGTGAGTTCACATTCATGTGTTGGCCTTATTGCTGTGCGCTTCCGTCTGGACATGCACGTATCTTCGTTTCATTTCCTGGTTGTGGATTCTCTAAGAGTTTTTGTATGGCGTAACAATAATAAAAAGGTACAGTACGTATTCATTTGATCAGATACCAGACAAATGGCGAAACTTCAAATCAAGGCCACGGCTGTTTTTCCCCTCTGCAACTGCCTGTTTGTGTTCGTACAATGCGCCATGCTAGCCAGTATGCAAGGGCACTATGTAAACTTTTTCCCAGTGGCTGTGAAGTTTGTGACGTCAGCACCCGCGGTTGATGGTGACATTGTGTCAGAGACATATTTCCAATTTGGTAGTCACATTGTGAGACCCCGTGACCCGGAAAATTTGTACGGAATTATGGTTTCAATGTGTAGAGATCTCAGAACAGACTGCTGAAGGGGTATGGTGTGCCGAGACAGCAATTGTTGATTTAATATCGCTAAGCGTAGAGAAGAAAGAAAGGAAATTTCCGCGCGTATATGTTTTTCTAAAGTAGCGTGCGGGAAGTTGGCTCTGGACCAGGACTTGAAGGTAGTCATTGTGCGTGGTCGATTAATTTGTTATTGTCTGGGGGAGAACAGGTGTCACTTCATTCACGTTACGAGTTTTTGGATAGGGCTACATTATGGAGGACAAAAAGTGGCCATCTGCTTTCCTGCTATCAGAATAGTTGAAGAGCAGATTTAATGTTTTTGTAACATGCAATTTTCGACTTTTCTACTTCTCTGCCACCTCAAAAGCAGAACGAACATTGTTTGGTAATGCATTTTTCTATTTTCTGCTTTTCTGCTTCACGAAAAGCAGGTGTTACTTTTTCTTCGTTCGCTGGCGACCGAAAAGTGGCCATCTGCTTTTCTCCTTTCGAACATGAAGAAAGGAGGATTGGGCATTTTGGCAACAACCTTGAATTCTACTTTCCCATTTATTAATACTGGAGAAGCAAATTTTACATAGGTGGCCGAAAAATTGCCATTTGCTTTTCTGCCTTCCAAGGGCCGTGAACGGGGTCGTGAACCTTAGGTTACGACCATTTCCTTTCTAGGGGATTGAAGACGTAAAAAGCAATAATTAGAGTCCGCCCTATCTATTGTATCTATTGTCCGAGCAAGCTTGTGTGTCTATTGGAGCTGTAAAGCTATATTTCCTTTGAGATGCTGTTTTCTTGGCCTCGCAGGGACACTAATACTACCGTATGGGATTGGTCCGCAGAAAGCATTGTTAAGTATTGCTTTCTATACGTCTTCACCCCCAGAACGGAAATGGTGGTAACCTACAGGTTCATGACCCCATTCACTGCCCATTGAGGACGGAAAAGCAGATGACCACTTTTCGGCCATCTGTGTAAAATCTGCTTCTCCGGTATCACAAAAGCAGAAAAGTTGAATTCTCGGTTGTTGTCAAAACGTTCAATTCACTTTGAATTCCTGCTTTTTGACAGGTAAAAAGCAGATGGCCAATTTTTGGCCGCCAGCAAAACGAGGACACGTGAAGCTGCTTTTGTAATAGCAGGAAAGTGGAAAATACGTTACAATAAAATGTTCATTCTGCTTTTGAGGTAGCAGAAAGTACACAAGTCAAATATCGCATGTTACAAAACATAAAATCAGCTTTTCTTATATTCTGATAGCAGAAAAGCAGATGGCCACTTTTGGTCCTCCATATTACATGTACGTACTTGTCTGAGGAGGGCACGTGCAATGAACACGTACTATGTGTTACTTCTCGAAACAAAATCACGTGAGAATAATGAAAAGCGAGGGGAGGGTCGAGGGAACTTCAATATAAATGAACTTGTTTGTACTGTATTGGGGGGAAAGAACTACAACTAAGACCTATATGCAACTCTTCTATAGTTATACGTGCGTATATGGCCCGGCCCTCCCGGCCTCCAGTCTTAAGCTCAAATCGCGGTCCTCTATTACTGAAGAGCCTTTACAATGCAGTTCTTTTAATACAGCTGATGAAAGTACAACTTTGTTTCTCAAACTAATTTCAATTTCAATTTGCTATTTCAAAGGGCATTTAGGTGCCTTTTGAGCTTTTATGCTGATCAAATTTCCATCGTCATGGCAAAGATGTGATGTCATTCCAGAGGAAAAACCTTAATGCTACCTTGGTTTGTGCACCAAAAATAAATCTGGATTTTTTTAAATATAGTTTTGCTGTCATTAATTCTCTTTTCTTTGACGATTAATTGTATAAGTAAATGGTAATACGCCAACGAGAAACGCTTTCTAGGAAATGTTCTCTTTAAATTAATCAGATTGGCTTCATAATTTGAACGGACAAACCAATACATTTTTGCATTGTTTACTGCCTTACGTCACATCAACAGTGCCCTCAATTGTCTGGAAAGCATGGAAAAATTTGAACGTGTAAACAGTTTTTGCCTTAATATATTTAACCCAAATGGAATTTCAAATAGTTTCCATGCATTGAAGAGAAGCTTACAGTTGTACAGAAAAACTCCTCTTCAGTGCAAAGAAACTATTTGAAATCCATTTAGGGTTAAATAGAAACAATTAAATTTTTAAACATTTAAAAGAAACCATGTGATAAAATAATTATTCTGAGACAACAGTGTCTTTGAATAATTATTTTATCACATGAACCCTTTAGTCCTTGTTTCAGCAGATAAATTACCCAGCGTCCTAATCTGCCACTCTCAGCTCGTAGGGCACTGTGTGAATTTAATTTAATCAATTTACCGCATTTTAGCGTCGAAACGCGATCAACGTCGATCAAGGAACGTCTGTGAAGTTGGATCGCGTCTGCCAAACTGGGGTGAAACTTCAAGGGAGAGTGGGACACCGGGTCTGCACCTTTTTCCCCCAAGGCAGCATCTCAATTTTCTTACAGGACACGGTCATCCGCTTGAGGCCGAGGCGCATTATTGCACCTACTTGCACCTATTCAGAAGGTTGATTACAGACCAATTCTGTGGCCCCATGCACAAACCTGATATGCCACATTTTCAAACTTTTTGAATTAGATGCATGAATGTGTAGAGTAATATCATATCTTTTTTTCCTAAAAATCTCAACAGCTAGGGTGGCCTTTTTTTTAAATATAGAGGGCGGTATTATTCTGACCAAACAGAAAATTCCAAGAAGTGAAAACTAACTAGATTTTTCTCAGTTTCATGTCTGTGTTGCATATCAGGTTCACGCATGGGGCCACAGAATTCAAAACACGCTGCTTCTTCTGAAAGACCCATACCAACTATACTAGCAACCGGCCTGGCCTTGACAAGGTGGAAATTATTATCAAGTGATGTCAGTAATTGCAGACATAAAAATGCCACGGTTTCAACTTGTATTCACTGAGAGACATTAGAGTTGCACGAAATGGTGCCTGGACACCAGCTGGTAGCCAGTGTGAGAACCCGCGTCCCGTAAATTGTTACCCTCAGTCGCCTACGAAGATGGGAGAAAAAGACATGAAGATAGTTTAGAAATAAATATATGTATATATAAAGAAAAACCTCCCTACTTGCCCCTTTAGGTTTGGCCCATTTTACGTTTGATAATCAATTGTCGTGCCGAATCTTTCATGAGACTTTGTGATGAATTTCATCGTAAAAAACTCCAGTTCAGTGAAAAGCGTTGATTGAAAGGCCTCTTCAGTTTTGACTGCGACTTCGTCATTACCCAATATCACCAGATCGACTAATACTGGATACTAGTACCATGTCATCTTCTTGACGCTCCCGGTCACCATAATGCTGATGATGAATTCCCTTGAAGAAAACATTGATTAAATTCGTGTGATTTATTTCTAATAGTAGTTATTCACACACGGCCATGGATGGCTGAACATGCATTCTTTTAGGACAATGAGACAAAGTGGGCTTTAGACCAAGGTTCAGTTAGAAATGCCAGCATGAATTCTATCAGTTCTCCCTCTCTCCTGTGAAAATAATATATCCTGGAAAGGAGGGGATCTGTAGCTAGTCATTTTGGTGCAAAACTAATACAGTCCCCACAAATTTCAAAATAAATGTTGTTGCGTTTGTTTGTTGGGGTGTTGGGGTGGTTGTTTGTTTGTTTGTTTTTTTCTTATTCAATCTATTGTAGCTACGTGCCGATTAACCTTGTACAACTACAGGCAGTGCAACTCTTCATCCCGTGCATGCCAGTCCATTATGACATTTCATAACTTTATTCAACAGTAACCATGCATTAACACGTTTTTGCAGAAATTCATATTCAGAGAGCAATTATGTGTCTCAATCATTCCACTTTTGCAATAACGCGTTCATTCTATTTGCAATAAAAACTGTCCTCTTGTAAAGAAAACTCATTTAAATATACAGGCTACTTTGGAATGTTTTTGAAAAAAATGCACTTGACTTTTCAGACTGTTTTCTTTGTGAATCTTTTTCCTGGAATTTTTTTTCCTTGTTAATATTTTGTGTTATTCTTGTTCCGTGACTGTTATCACAAAATATTTTCATTCTTTTTAAATCCTGTTTTGTTCCCGTAACGTGTGATTGATTTTTGTGTACTAATCTAATCCAGCTTCAAACCTAAATGAGCGTTTTGTCATGAGCTGGCTCAGTATTTTAAAAGGCCAAAGTCAGTCGAAAATAGAGCAAGGGAGCTCAAACATGTTCGGCGAGTGAGTCGGCATAAGGCGGCCGCGCCGTCCTGACTGGGCTGACGTGTACTATGCTGTACTCGATTCACTTACCACGCGCTTTGAATTGGGCCTGTGCTGTTGGAATGCCGGAGTGGCTCACTGTTCAGACATTTTAACAGCACAGTCCATTGTACGACCCATAGAGTTTGGCTGACGCTATTGAAAAGAAGACTAAAATAGGCCATGAAGTTGCCAAAATTTTGAGCTCCAACAATAGTAACTGAGGCAGCAATAACCTTGGTATAGGCGTCTCTAACTCACACTCGGTGCACAAGCTCGGGAACGGACGTCATTTCATTGATTTTTGCTTGGCAAAGAAAATGTTTGCTTAACAAAATCTCATGCATTATTTTGCTCGCGTAACAGGTTCCAAGCTGGTTTTGGGTCAGCATGTAAAGATAAGTTCTTTCTGCTGAACAGGCCTGTGAAAATCATGCTCAGGTCTGAGTCGTGACTATCATTGGACGCATGCGCGCGCAATGAGGTGAGAAAATGGCAGCAAATGACAGGAACCTGAATGTGAGAGCAACTTCAAAAGTACATTGTACTGTTAATATGATATGAACTTATTGCAGCAATGCATTAACTTGATAGTGAGCTGCTCACTGGTGGGCCACTCAACGGATCCCACCCAGAAGAAAGGGTACCCGTGTGTTCATATTTTATCACTTTAAAAAGCGTTTTGCTCACATAATCTTTGACCTTCTTCTGGCAATACCAGCCGAAAACAAAAGAAATTGTTCAATTCGGCTCATGCGGGCTAATCCCATGTGTACACTGTGACGCTACTATGATGTGGACTGTGCCCTGTGTAGGTCGTGTGTGTGTGTGTAGGAGACAACAAACACCCCCCCCCGGCCAATTAGGAAACGGCAACCATTTTGGTTTTGTTTTTTTTTGGTGTTTTTGTTTGTTTGTTTGTTTTTTCATTTTCAAACCATTTCCACTGTTCAGGGGCACAGGCATTAGCCTCCTTACTGCAATACATGGAATATTTTTATCTAGTGGTTTCTCAAGTGTCTGTCCTTGTACTTGACCTCTCTTTTTTCGACGCAATTAAGGATGCTACAATGTCATTAATGTTACCCTCATGCGTTGGGATCAATGTCTGCAACATCTACTCCGTCTCGTGGCCTTCAGGAAATCTGACGGTTCCGGGATGCTGCTCCACCGACGACGCAAGATGCAGGCAAAGACTGCCTTGAAGTCACGGTGCTTGGTCGCGTATATGAGAGGGTTTACACAGGCGTTGAAGACCAACGTGACCGAAGCGTATGGCAGAGCTGGGTCACTGTACTCGTAGAAGAGGCATATGGCAAAGGGCGTCAGGCAGAGAACGAAGGCACATACCACATAGAACATGTTCTTGGTGATCTCATTCTGGCGTCGGTTCATCTGAGGGTGGCTGACGGTGCCGGCGCGACGCAAATCGCTTTGGCTCTTCGTCTTAGATGTCACCGATTTGAGCTCCAGGGAGACGGCGGACGACGTTATCGAAGAATCGCCGGATTTTTCCGGAGGATTTACCATCCTCTTTGTGTGGCGGTTAAGGTAACACCAGATGAGCGTATAGCAGAGAATGATGATGGCAAGTGGCACAGGGTACAGGGCCCCGGCTATGATGCTGTTGTAGTAGCTAGACAGAGGGTGGGAGGATTTGAACCCACAGTGGTGATATTTAGGGTTATAGCCTAAACCGCCCACTCCTAGGAGTGGCGGGATTAAGGTTACAAGCACCGGAATGGACCAAGCAACTACTAACCAGACAACGAACTTGTAACGCGGCGTATAGATGGCCTGGTAGTTGGTGGCAGGTCGAGTGATCAATAACAGGCGTTGTACACCAATGAAGGCCAGAGTGTAGATGCTGCAGCCTGTTGTGATGGTCTGAATGGCAGACACCACGCTGCACAACCACTCGCTGACCGGGGGGCCGTTCTTTCCTAACAACGCCACCGCATCCCAGGGGATCACCAGCGACGTCAGCAGGTCCGCTACGCTCAGGTTCACCACGAAGGCGTTGGTGGTTGTTCGGAGCTTCCTGGACAAAATCACGGCCCAGATCACCAGTGAGTTGCCGATGATACCGAGGACAGCCGCAATCAGGTAGAGTGTGGCGACCACAACCCTTTGTCCGTAGTCGCTGAATTCGAACTCAGTGGAATTTCCCCCTTTCAGAGCGTCGTCACTGATTCCATCATACAACAGGAATTCATGTTCCATGTTTCCATTTACGGTTGGAATACTTCCCCAGGTGATAGATTTTTGAGGAGTTGGGGGTAGAAAGACGTTCGAAACAGCAAAACGGCACAAGAATCAGGTCTGGTCGCTAACAGCAAACATCAGTTGCGTTACGACAGCCCTTTAGTGCCACAAGGTTTAATGGAGTAAGGTACGTTGAACTACGGAGGTACAAAGACCTGGTAGCCTATGCTTCAAAGACCAGCTTACAAGTTAAGTTAATCATGGCGCAGTACACAAAAACTTTTCTCTACGCCCAACGCCCCCTTTGTTACACACAGCGCATTGGATCTAATGCACTGGTGTGCGAGAGAGCAACACTGACCTTTTTAGTATAACCATATCTGCCTTGCACTTATAACCCAAAAATGTAAATATGATAAGTTGATTGACTGGTGTCTGTGGCTGAATTTGGAACCAAGTCCATTATTGTTAAGAAGTATTCGTTCGACCATCCAACTGTGATACACACTTAGTATTTGACAGTCATAATCACACGCGGTGCAGTGAGCTGACAAGCTTACTGGGTTGCCTATTGTTGTTAAAATCGACTTATTGTTATGCCAATTTTACGGTTTTTGTTGACATGAGGCAATGAGAAGTGTTCCATGGACGACCAGGAGAGTAGACCCGTTTTCAAATCTGGCATCCTTATTATGTAGTTTTTTAGGGCCGAGAAAGACTGAGTGAAAGTGCAAGCGAACCGTATAGGGAAACTACTATGAATCATGTTTGCAACGTATACCAGTACAACAGTTTTCATGTAGGAGTGAACGGATCCTTGGTTAAAACTGTACCCCTGTGATTTCCCGAAAACGGCACAGTACATACAAGGTGATGTTGACATTGCAGTGTTAATTACATTGAATAGACTGGTGTCGTTGCTGCCCTGCTGGAGTCTTACCTCCTGAGAGCTTCAATAAAATATTGGCCTAAGATTTTTTTTTACCGCCGTCATGTTATATGAGCTAACTCGTAGAGATAGGGATCTTTGGTAAACGTGGGGAAAGTCCATGGGTTACTTTTATTGTTATCTAGGTGTTTTTATAATAGAGGGTAAGCTAGTTTTTTCCTGTAGCCTAGACAGTAACAGAACACATCATGGTGGAGAAAAAGCTGACCGTCTCGTTTCTTTTTAGCCCTTTGGGCTGATGTAGTGTGTCAAAGAAATTATAATCTGATTAAGGTTTTTATTTCATCATCTTGAAAATGTTGAGAGCTTGTGTCCCAACATTGATCGACCTCTGTCATGAAACCAATAGAAGCTTCCAACTATTTAACCAGCAAAATAAAGTCTTAATTAAGAGAGGGGCGTTTGAGATTTTGTAAGAATTTAAAATAAAAACTATTTGGGGAACGTTTGGTTATAGTACCACTGATCATTATGTCATGGTTCATTTAACTCTAGTAATCATTTTATTAAAGTGTTTGGGTAAAAAAAGTATATGTGACATGCCAACTGCTTATAAATTTTTATTTTTTTTGGGGGGGAGGGGGATAAAGTACACATATGGAGGCCTCACACAGACAGTCCTTCCTACGCCACACTTGGAATAAAACGGATCATAGAGAGGTATAACATTTTACAGGTATTTGTTAAAATTATAGTGTTCCTGAACATTTGTTGTATACCGGTACTAAAACACAATACAGCAAATATTGTTATGGCCCCACATCCCTTATTTTGAGTCCCTGTGATCTTTGCTAATTATTGGCTTTTTAAAATTTAGGGTACCGTAGGTATTGAAGCGACTGGGGATGGACGATGACAACAAACGCGTTTCTCAGGGTTCACTGCCTTGGAGATTGATGTGCTTATGACTGGCACGTTATTACCTCGTTTAGCGAATAGCTGGCACATAGGCAAATTAAACTGTCAAAAGTTATGAAGCATGCACTTTCATGTAGGCTATGGTTTACCCCATTTTTATCAGCGGAGAGAACAAGAGAGATGTTTTTGAGCCATTAGATACCTAGAATCTGAAAGCAGTGTTGAAACAATCACATTGTATGAAACAAAAGTACTATAAGTTAAATGTAATCAGTCACAATTTTTGTCATGCAGTGCGTTCTTCTTAACAGTCGACAAAGACTGTGTAATTGTGGAGAGTTAAGGAACGTAACATTAGTTCAATATGTACACAAAACTTGTGAGACTGAAGAAAAGTATCTCTTTCAAGGCCGTTATAATCATCAGTGCTTTGACACAACGATAAAGGTATATACATGTACATTTTTGTACATGTAGTTGTGATGTATTCGAGTACCAATGTTGTCGTGTCAGGAAAGTCGCGTTCAAATGTAAAACGTAAATCAAATTTAACTGGATGCCTCAAGTTCGTTTAATAAAGTTAATGGTGGTAGTCATTCTGTCGGCATATTCCGACGACAACATTTTCTTCGTCTCATAGCCTTGAGAAACTCAGAGGGTTCGGGGATGTTATCCCACTTGCGGCGTAAGATGCAACCAAAGACGGTCTTGAAGTCACGGTGCTTGGTGGCGTAGATCAGCGGGTTGATGCAACTGTTGAAGACCAGGATCGCAGAGGCGTAAGGAAGGAACGGGTCGCTGTCGTCGTAGAAGAGGCAAATGGCGAAAGGCGTCAGGCACAGAAAGAAGGCACAGACGACATAAAGCATGTTCTTGGTGATTTCGTACTGACGGTGGCTCATCCTAGATTGGCCGATGGCAGTACACTGTCGGGTCGGCGCTCGGCTGGAAAGATACTTTGGAGTCGACGTTGAGCGAATCACGGAGACTGATGTAGCCGAAGTCACACGGTCTGAGGAAGGATCGTCTAAGGTCACTTGGCAGGGCTCCCCCAGCGCTCTGGTCATATTCCTGGCGTGGCGATTCAAATGCCTCCAGATGAGAGCATAGCAGACGATAATTGCGATGAGTGGGGCGGGATACAAGATTCCTGCTATTATAACATCGTAGGTGTCTGAGCGCGGGTGGGAGGATTTGGACCCGCAGTTGTGGTACTTTTGGTTGTAGCCGATGCCACCAACGTTGAGGAGTGGCGGCAGGAGTACGACTAGGAGCGGTACGAGCCACGTGGCAACCAGCCACACGGCGATCTTTCTGGGTGTATCAATGATCTGGTAGACTGTCGTGGGGCGCGTGATCAGGAGAAGGCGGTTCACGCCCACAGACGCTAGAGTGCACGTGCTGCAGCCCACCGTCGTGTACTGCATGAAAGCGACTGCGCTGCAAATCCACTCGTTTACAGGCAGATAATCACTTCCTAGCAGCTCCACCGCATCCCAGGGGATCACCAGCGACGTCAGCAGGTCCGCCACGCTGAGGTTCACCACGAAGGCGTTAGTGGTCGTCCGGAGCTTCCTAGAAAAAAACACTGCCCATATCACTAGGGAATTGCCGGCGATGCCCAGAACAGAAGCGATCAAGTACAATGTGGCTACAACGGCTCGCTGTGCGTAGTCGCTGAATTCGTACGACGGGCTTTCCGTGGAGTTGTATATGAACACACTGTCCCTGACGTGAAGTTCAGAAGAGTACAAGGAATCGTCCTCCATGGCTTAAAACTCGTTGAATGGGTGTAAAAGCGAATTTCTCTGGCAGTCGACGAGCGCAGGAAATATTGACAGTCCTGATGCTTGGAAATTTGCACAGATGACTAATACTTAATGTTCCTCTTTGTGGTTTGGCATGTACTGCAGGAACTGCATGGACACCTTGATATACGTTCGCTCGTACCCAATGATCTATCCAACCATGCAAGCTGATGGCCGTTAGTGGTTTCCAATTTCTTCAAACAGCTACAAGATTTTGTTTATACCCGATGACCTGGGATCACACAAAACCACCTCCAATCTTTCGTGACACTTGCCTCCTCACAAAACTGTATGTAGATGTACCTATCGTCATTGCTTGGTTGCTTGATGGAAAGTTGATACGAGTGAAACGAACGTTCTGCTTTGGATCAGTCAATTACGCAGTAATATTCCGGTTCATTTCCGGGTTGTGGTTTAAGTGTGTACCGTCAATCCTGTTTGGAAAAAGGTGTGCCCAGCTAGTTCAAAGACACAAAGGAAAGAAATTTTATACACCAGATATTTATTCACTATGTAAGCATTTACTTGACATTTTAAAGGTTAAGTTGAGACTTCTGAGTACGATCTGAGATTTGGTTCATCAGGCCTGTCGATCTTTTGTTTACAAACATTAATTGACCGCCATTTTGTATGGACGGCCAAAGTTTGCAAAAAACTAAGTCTTGGATGGCAATAATGTCTGCCACAAAATGCACATTTTGCAAAAACAGTATTGAATTTGCATTTCCAATAAGCAGTTTATACAAATATTTAATAATTTTATTATCTCCACAAGATTGTAAAGGCAGTGGCAGCTGGAAGGGAACATTTCATCTGTCACCTTATGAAATTATTCTTAACATTGCACTCATAAACATTCATAATTTGTATCCTATTGGCTTACAAAAACAAACAGAGATATCGTTTAGATAGAAATAGAGATATCTCTGATAACATCAGAGATATCTTTTAGCAATTCCAAGTAATTTTGGGTAGTGTATTTTTTTACTCAAAAAGCACAAACTGCCCAAGGGATACCATGCACCCCCGTTACGAGTGTCTATGCATCTGTTCACTCTGACTGAAGCAAATTTTACCCAGTATTCGTGAACAATTAACGAATCGTCTTCATGGTACATTTTCGGCAATTGTTGTCAATATAGAGCATGAAAGTAAACGGTCACGCAGCAAGTTTCCGAAGCCCTCACACGGTCCGCTTATGGAAATTTACATTATTTACGGAAGTCTGTTCTTTTCAGTGCATTCTACGATTTCTAGGCCACGCGCAATTTCTTGCTATTGCCTGTAATTCCGTTTTATAGTCCGATTATAACAATTGACTTCTGTTTTCAAGACTACATTTGTTATAGACCTCCACTTAACCCCATGAAGTTTCATTCTGTAAGTGATGGCAAATGCCACATTATGGAAAGCTAATACGTTCATCGTGGTTGTTTTTAGACCGTTTGTGCTTTTGTTTGGACTAAGAACTGTTGTGAAGACGAAACCGAGACCAACCTAGAAAGTCACCAGGTAGAATATGTTTCAGTCGACTAAAAATTCTTTCAGATTTGGAAGGGTGTTGTTGTCTTAGTCTGAAAACGCGAGGCAAGGTCCGTTTGTGATTAGACCGAATTATTTAGGGTGTGTGGCAAGTAATGGGGTGCTTAAACGTACAGAGCCCTCTAAATTACCACATACATTTGAACAAGAGACTTAAGGAAGTGTTGTGTATGTCATTAAAAATCTCGCATTTAAGAGAACTCTGTTTACGATTTGTTTCCTTAGATAGCATTCTGTGGCAGTAAGCCACAGAACAGAAGCCGTCGCACAGTCCTCGACTTATTAGTGCATGAGTAGGGACGGCTTTGGTCGTGTCTGATACCGGTAATTGATGTTAGGCTTCGTGTAACTGGAGATCTTTCAAGTTAATTGTACTGCCTGCTAATTCATTATTCGGGTGTAGGCATGCAAGGTAAAAAAAATCCATCTGGAGTTTAGTTTACGGAAAGGTGGTTTGGTAAGTCTGCCATATAACCTTGTCATGGGGATATCCAGGATTGAAGGTTTTGTGAAATGTGATAAGCTAGCCTACTCATCTTCATTGTAAGCGAATTGGCATCTCTTTTCGGTTAAATTGGTTTTAAAAGTACGGCTTTCTAAACCTTTTAAAATGTCCATGCTTTCCCAAACAAGTCAGGGCGTTTTTGCTGTGATGTGATGGAAAGACACGCTAAATTTAAATACATGAATTTGCTCTTCACATTGTTAACTCAATTTATTTTTCAATGGAAACATTTCTCCCAAAAATTGTTCGTTGGCTAATTGCCATATTCTTATTACTATGAAAAATAACAAACCTGATCAATTTGGCATTGAGTTTTTCTGGCCAGAACGCCACTACAATTTGCTGGCGAGTATCATGGAAAGTCGTGTGGTGTGTTGCATGACTCATGTCATTATAGTTAGCCACATTATTTTACTGTGTGAACCCATAAATATGACAGATGGTTTGTACTCGCGCTACGCCTCAGTTGCCTCGTGAAAATGTTACGCACTCGTGAGTCAAGTAGACGGTCGTATACGCATTTTGCGAGTCAAGTAACTCACACATCTGCGCCTGTTGACACGTTAGTGTTACAATTGACTGCATATGCTGTATAATGTAATAAGGAAATGAACATTGCACATATATTTTGTTTGGGAAATCATGAAGCTGAAAACTCTGGTATGCATTTAGTAAGCATACTGAGAAACGAACTTAGAATATCTCCAAAAAAACAAACTTGAAAAATGTATCTCATAGGCCCATATAAAAACGAACATGGGACAAATTCTCGTAAAACAATTTGTTAGAAAACAAAAACAGTGTTTTTTATGTACATGTCAGATCCCATGAGAACAAACGCGGTAATAAATGTCATAAACACGAGCTTCGAAAAAATATACTTCACTTTTAGAAATATGTACTCGATGGCACAACACGGCTTTCGTACTTGGTAATAAACCTCTACACGTACACACGTGCCGTGATATTGTAGGGGTAATTTTGTTTCACATACGCTGTCCAGGTCTATAGTCTCACTACAAATCACTTCACCAATGCAACATTGAACATTTTTGAGCATTTTTTTTTGGGGGGGGCTTACATTTTGCCAAATGGTCTGCTTTAGGTTGGTGCTGTGTAATAGCGACTATCATCCTACTGGCCATGCAGTGTCGTCTTATTTTGTCTTCAAGTCACTCTATACAGATCGTTCCGGCGGCGTGAATAAGACATGGAGGCAGTCCTACACGGTGCTTGCCAAGGGTTGTTCTTCCAGCTATTGTTGGAGAACGTTTTTTCCTCACTGAATTATTTGTGGAAATATACTTTCCTCCGCATGCAGGGAAACTTGCTTCCTGAACTACAGTTAAGTTATTACAGAGTTGAGTTAATTTGTTACATTTTGGCAACACTGATCAACACGGTGACAAGGATGGCCTTTTCTCGTTCTTTAAAGATTCCGCAGTCGGATGCGTTGTGGAAGTTTGCAGCACGTTTTACACACCAGAGACGACTTATCATGTCGCTTGTCGAGCACTACCGACAACAACTATGCCTGGAATTAATGATGTTTACTTTTCGTATAGATTACGTGATAAATGCATTGTGATGACATCAGGTCATTGTTTGCACGCATCATTTAGTAATACAGTGACACAATATAGCATGCAATTCATTGCAACAAAACTCATTGAGATATAGTTGAATTCAATCAAAAATTAAAGACAGTCACAAACATTACAAAACAACAAATAAATGGAGCAAAAAAAAAAAACTGAACGTAGAGTGTGTAGGCCTGACAAATTGCCCGCAAGGCGATTCTCACATAGGCCAAGCGTAGTAACAGAAACAGGACTTTTTTTTCATGTACAAGTACCGGTCACTGTAGAGAAAGTTTGTCGACGTGATAAGATTGATTTAAGAATTGATTCTACGTGATGTGAAGCTCCATTGAACATTTTACAGCGCAAAAGAGCTATAGGAAATGGAAAGTGAAACTTCTGTTATATGAGTTAAGTGAATAGTACTGGTCTGTTGAAAACAGAACGATGAATAACTTTGTAAAAACTTTGTCGCTTGACCTGACCTTAACCCTAACAGTCCTCAATCCTCCGATGATGAGACGGACAGTTTCCTGCGGGGCCTGACTAACTCGGCTTTGATAATTCAGGGAAAGCGTCACGGTGGTTTGGCGGGAACCAAGAGGGGCAGTTCCATATCAAATACGAGGAAAACACATATGATGGTTGCGCGGCTGTTGTAGGGTATTTTGTCTCATTATGCTGAACTAAAGAGGAATTTCTATAGCTAAAAGTATTGACGAAGTTTCATGACTAATTTGGGCTTCTTCCTTTGACCAGAAAAAATGATTCTTTATAATGTACTAGGTTTGTTTTATACAGAAACTGAAGCAACGTTATGAAACTAGTGTGCTTTAAGAAAGGGCATCGGGCAATAGGTACATTACATAAATACACTTGAAAAAAAAAGGAATTGATCCGATGAAAACGATGGATATCATTAGATCGTTTTAGTGAATAGGTGACATTCTAGTTGCACTTTCAAAACACGTCTTTTATGACGGGTCAAATTCTGTGCATACGGTGAGCAGTCAGTGTTATGTTTTGGAAGTCGCTTAAAAAACGTGACTGGGAGCAGTCATATGGAAGATACATAATGGAATATAATCAAACCATAAACCCGCACTATCCTGAAAAATCATTATGCGATACTCGAGTGATGTGTTTTGAAATACGTGCTGCCTTTTACAGATCATCGAAATTTCTCTCCTGTCTCGTTTTGAGACTGTGATTGTTGATATTGGTCACCGGAAGTCACTCGTCCTTTCTATCACATGCATCAAAAACTTTATGTGCTTGACCTTAGACTGAGTTCACTCTCGACGCGCAATCACAATGCAACGCTTTTCAATTTGATTATACATGTAGCAACTTCTAAGTATAAACGTGCCAGCTTGCTCGTATAAAAAAAGTGTTGAGGAAGCCATGGTGGATCTTGTTCATCGAATCTATTTTTCCCCAAATTTGGCATTTAAAACTAAAGTATGCTTTCTCACAAATGTCTGAGTAGACAAGTACTAATTTAACAGGAAAATGTCATTCTACGAATGGTTGATGTTTTCATGTTCCAAAAATGAACAATTAGACGCACTTTCATAGTTTGTGGCCGATTCATAACAAAAATGGTCCATTCAAGATTGGGCAAGGTAGCATGTCTAGCCCAATTGATTTATTTTTCTTGCCCAGGAAAACGAAAGTCTCACGTGTAATGTAAACCTTGTGGATTCAGGCCTGTGTTTATTCCGGAACGAGTAAAAGGAAAACATGGTGTACCGGATTACATGGATTTGTCGAGGAGTTTTGTGATATCAGATCGGAAGCCCAAACCGGCCAGTGTATCCGTATAGGACCCATGATGGGACGTAAGTAATGCGGGGCATGACGCAATCAACTGGTTGAACGAACGTTGTCCCACTGATCACTGTAAGGAATCGTGGTGGCTCCTTTTTCCACTAAGCTTCGGCATAAAGGCATATATCCAGAACCAAGTATTTGGGGGGGGGTTGTGTCGGGGGCCAAAAATTTTGGATGCTAATTTGGGTATTTGAACACGTTTTTAGAAGGAACTGAACGTGTAGTACGTTTTGCCCAGTTTTTTGTTACTTTTCAGAAACAACAAAGGTGCTCTTTAGGGGGAACACTGCTCCCGCTGGCTAGATGGAATTGCAGTTAAGAAGTTGAAGTTCGACTGTTGGGGTCATATTTTTTAAGGAAGGCTCGGATTTCCACCTATAAAAAAGTAGAGAAACGTTGCTGGATCGCTGCAGACCCACTCCGTGAAAATAATTTTTGGAATTATGACCAGAAATTTAGAAGTAAAAAATATAGGGAAATGGTCAGTAAAGCCTTCCAAGCGCGCTCTGTACATTTATTGCAATAAATAAAAGCATTTCTACTACTTAATAACTTTTCTCCATAGTTTTGAGCACACTTTCAAGTGAAGTTTTGAGCACACTTTCAAGTGAAGCCTCCTCGGTCTATGGCCACTTGTCCGGGGCATAACCAGGATGTGCTCACTGTACATACAAACTTTGCGCTATAATAATAAAGTACTGTTAATGTAAAAATGCTGCTGGTAACAAAACACAAATTCTAGGTTCCCAAATCTATGTACATGCATGTATACTTCGTTTTCTAATACTGATGTATACGTAATTTGCAAAGTCTCAACAATGACACTGATAAGGTCCCAGTAAACAAGGTACATGTAGCCTATACGTAATTCGTAAAGTCTTAACGAGCTTGATATAATAAGGGCGTTCGGATGCATGTGTATTTAATTTACAGTAAAAAAAAATAATAACTTCCACTTCAAAGTCCAGTTCACGAAAAGGCCCGTTTTGGCGGTCACTGATACGCGGCCGGAGGAACGACAGATTTAACTAATGGCCAACAAAAACATTTCTAAAACGCTCAAGTCCACATCATCTCTCACGCGTACACACCACTCCGTCCACAGCACGGCATTTTGCCCGATGTCAGCGCCTTGTGACAATTAGAGGGTTCGGGGATGTTATCCCACTTGCGGCGTAAGATGCAACCAAAGACGGTCTTGAAGTCACGATGCTTGGTGGCGTAGATCAGCGGGTTGATGCAACTGTTGAAGACCAGGATCGCCGAGGCGTAGGGAAGGAACGGGTCGCTGTCGTCGTAGAAGAGGCAGATGGCAAAAGGCGTCAGGCAGAGCATGAAGGCACAGACGATGTAGAACATGTTCTTGGTGATCTCGGTCTGGCGACGGCTCACGTGGGATTTACGCAGGGTTCCTTGACGAGACACACCTGGCTTGTTGGCGTTGTGGGTAGGCCTATTCGTGGTAGCCATCGATTCCGACACCATAGACATGCGGGTGGTCTGGGTCATCGAGTCGGTGCTGGCCTCAGGAGCGCTCACCTTCTTGGCGTGGCGACGGAGATGCCACCAGATGAGCACATAACATACGACGATGGTGATGAGAGGGACCGGGTACAGCCCTCCGGCTATGATGAGATCGTAGTCGTTGGAGCGGGGATGGGTGGAGGGGAACCCGCAGTGACGGTACTTCTTGTTGTAGCCGACCGCACCCACGTCCAAGAGAGGTGGGACGAGGGTGACAAGCAACGGAATGGACCAAGCCACTACCAGCCACGCGGCGATCTTCTTAGGCGTGTAGATGACTCGGTAGGTAGTCATGGGCCTCTTGATGAGCAATAGGCGTTGCAATCCTATGGAAGCCAGGGTGTACATACTACAGCCGATGGCCGTGGCCTGCACGACGGCGGCCACGCTGCAAACCCACTCGCCGACAGGTAGGCCATCCTTGCTGAGCGTGGCGACTACTGTCCAGGGGAGCACGAGGCAAGTCAGTAAGTCTGCCACGCTGAGGTTCACCACGAAGGCGTTGGTGGCTGTGCGGAGCTTCTTCGACAGAAGTACAGCCAGAATGACCAGAATGTTCCCCGCGGTTCCTAGCAAGATGACAACCAAATACATGACGGCCACCACGACTCTCTGGGTGTAGTCGTTGAATTCAAACGGTGGGATGTCGGTCGCATTATCTTCGAAAGTCTCCGTCACAAAATCATCCATGCTTTAGCAATACTAGGCACTGAATTGAAAACAAATATTGTAAGTCAATGTATAAAATTCTTGTCTAAACGGGGAGGCCAAAGAGCCGACTGATATTCTTAACTCCTTGGACCCACCACTTGGCTGTGAGAGCCTATAACTCCTTACTAGCGGACTCAGACTTTCGTGACTCTGACACGAAACAAAACTCTGTAATCTAGACAGTTTCCCACTCCAGCTAGTCAAAACCTTGACACACAAAGTCTGGCTGAGTTTCAGTATCATACGGCGCTTAAATAGCATCACGCTGGAGCGCCGCGGCGACCAACGCTGTATCCGGATGTTTTGTGTACGGGTGTACATGTACAAGCGTTTCGGTTTCTGTCCAATAATCCAACAGGCAGCTAGTCGTCGACAGGTGTATTCCCTGATGTGCCTGGTTGTTTCCGTGGAATGTTATACAGTAGAAAATTGTGTTGACGTCCCTGGAAATATGTGTAAATGCAAAGATGTAGATGATGTTGATGTAAAAGAACAAAGGGGGAGTGTCCTGGCCCTCTAGAAAATACCATAGCAACGTCCATGAACATACAATTACAATATAATATAGGCCTACGTGTAGCGTACAATGTACATGTATTATGTTTGAATGAGTTGCATCTTATTTTGTTTAGATACTCGACAGCATTCATTATAACGGATTATTACGAACGCAAGGGTCCTGGCAGGTGGGTGCACTCCCACGTTTTGGAGTTTCCTATAAACCCCAGCAACGTATTTCCCTCCATTCAGATGCTCCTTTGCCTTTTTGAACAGCGTGGTTTTTTTACTTGCTTGGTGAAAGGGAGTCATTGATTGTCCATGTAAGGATGAACTGATATGTGTAGGAACTGACAGCGAAAAAGCAAGTTTAGTAACAACATAAAAGGAGTCACTTGTTTAGATGTGGTTGTCATAATGAGTATCTCTTTTCCCTGCTTAATTCTGGTATCATAGAAACACAAATGCTGGATCAACGTACGGAATGCTGCGCTTTTAAATTTCAATTTTTCCCGACCCCACCAGTCACCAACACTTCTTCCCTTAATCTTTCACAGTCATGTACATGTATACTTTTGCGGAGATAATTTCAATAGGAAACATTCAGGAACATACGTTCTGATGGAAGATTTAATAAAAAGTCAAATAAAATTCAATTAAAAAGTACAATGGGACACTAGTCTGGCTTCCTGCCAAGAGATATAAATAGATATAACGCACGGGCCGGGGTCACAAGTTGAGAGCCCGGGTGTTTTCGAATTCATTACAGTGGTGGTGCACCCTGTATGTACATTTGCCAGTCGTCGTTAGGGTCTGATTCTTCCTAGATTCTTTTCTAGGGAGACTACCGAGGAGACCTTCAATTTCCGTGTAAAGTCAAATACATGTATTGTAGGATCAAAGGCTGCCTTTAAGATACAGGAGCTCACGTTCAACAGCTAGCCTAGGCTCCCGGCTGGGAATTACCGAACATCAACGGTACCATCTGAACATGCCGAATATAGACGGGACGACTTCGGAGTATTTCGGCTATTTCCGGAAAACTAGAGGAATAAAGTAGAGGTCACTCAGTGAGCTTCAAAAACCCTCGCGCGGTCCGCCTATGGGGATTTTTCATGGGGTCGTCCTATCCCGTTTGATAATTTTTGGAAGAATGGATGTTTGAAGAATGTTTCCTGACTGAAACTACCCCAAGAAAAAGGAAAAGTCACCTGGAGATGGGTAAAACGACTTTTATTAACGACATTTCGCTTCCGGCCGTATCGTTCCTAGGTCTCCTTGTTCATGCACGTTTGTTTACGTTCCTCGTGCTTTACGTAGAAACGAGATTGTACAACGTTGCAAAGATTTACCGACCTGCAGTCGATGGACTCTAGATTCAGTCGAGTTGACCTGACGCAGTTCTTGTCAGCAAAGGTTAGATTATACATCAGAATCTTTTCTTATCATTGCTTTAAGTTTATTTTGTTATAAATTAGAAAATCCTTAAAATCTTTTGGTCTGTTTTCATTTTGGCGTTTACCAAAGACTACCGTTAGTACCTCTTCTTCATGTATTGTAAATTTTCGGAAATGATAGGCCAATTTTTGGCAGGATATAGTTTCCGTAAATTGAAAAGCTAACAAATATTTTACTAAAGGCCTTTTTACGTGTAGAGATTTCTAAGAAGTAACTGAACAAAAAAATTACAAATTCTAAAATTTGTGCACGTTGTTTTTTTCTAAGTGAGGAAAACCAAACCAATAGCAAGTGAAAATGTTAATGATGGCCTTTACCAAGCTGGGAAAACATAACTACGCTGCCAGTCAAGCTTTGTATTCGGCTCGGTAAAATTGTTGCTAGGGGATTCAGTGATCTCTGTAAGCTGATTAAGGGCATTGCGAGTCCATATTTCTTTATATACATGTTAGTCCGTGGTTGTCTGCCCCTTAATCGTGGAGTGGTCAGAATCATCGGGTCTGGCATCCAGATTAAAAATGTAGACCCCCTTTGAATGAGGGCGCTATTTATCAAATGCGCGGGAATGAGTTCAACAACAGGGGTGTGTGTAATGTAACGGCTCCTGACCAGCGATACGTTGGGACCTTTTTTCACATTACTTGTACATGTACACTGTATAGAAGATAACACATGCGCTATGCACATCTTTGGATTTGCTGCAAGCAACAATGTTTTGCGTATACGTGTACATGTAATTCACTTTTGAGACGAGACAAAATTTGTTTGAATTCCGCCCTTTTGAACTGACGCTTAACCAACAATGACATACAATACATATACAAACACTTAAGTCGCGACCAAAGCTAAACATGAGGGCGCTATTTTTGAATGTTGGAACCATAATAGAGATCGTTAAGTTGACCTACGGAGGTAGGAATGGTTAGCCTAGGCATCGCATCAATACTTGTTACTGGAACTCCCTAGTAACTGTTTTATTTATTTATTAACACTCATACTTATGCTAAATAGAAACGTGCACAAACTTTCACTTTTGGAATTTTAGGGTACCGTACATATTTCGAATTCAAGTCTTTGACTTATCAACTCATATTGCCAAAAATCATCTCAGGACGAGACTTTATTCGACAGTTTGAACAGAGGCAAGAGGAAATCAGAGTGTTTACCTTCGTATAAAATAAATTATTTTATTTCGAAAAAGCTTCACATTTAAACCAGGGAATCCTCAAAGCTATAACAGGCGAACGTAAAGCACGTTTGCTCGGGAACAAGTGCAAGTGTGTGGCAAACTGAAGAGAACTGGGCAAAAGCCCAATCCAATGGATGACTTATAGAAGTGGTAAGTTCGCTATAATTGGACAGCCTTAAAGTTTGGACCCTGAGGTATTATCTAAAATGCAAATGTTCTTTATAAGCTTAAAATGTGACATAGTGTACATCGAAAAGTTTGTTTAAAATATATATACAAAAGACAGGCAATGTTCAACATTGAAATTCCACCCAAGTTCAAATCCAAAGCAAACCCATGGAAAGCATCCTCGACAAAAGGTTATGGAGCTAGCCAAGTCCAATGTGACACAAGCGTCCATAGACTGCTCAGATGTCCCGACAGTTTATTTCTTGGCCGATTTCTTGGCTGCTGACTTCTTCGCAACCTTCTTCGCTGGCTTCTTGGCAGGTTTCTTGGCTGCTGGCTTCTTGGCAGGTTTCTTCGCTGGCTTTTTGGGCGCCGCAGGTTTCTTGGGAGACTTCTTGGCTGCAGGTTTCTTGGCTGCGGGTTTCTTAGCTGCTCCCTTGGCCTTCTTGGCTGCTGGCTTCTTGGCGGCTGGCTTCTTCGCAGCCTTCTTGGCAGCTGGTTTCTTGTTCTTAGCTGCCGGCTTCTTCCTGGGCTTCTTGGCTGGCTTGGCTGCTGCCTTGTTCACCTTGAAGCTTCCCGATGCCCCGACCCCCTTGGAGTGGACAAGAGACCCACTGCTGGCCATCCGCTTCAGGGCCAACTTGATTTGAACATCAGCGTTGTCGCCGACCTTGTAGTTGGCTTTGACATATTTGACAATGGCCTGACGAGAAGAGCCGCTGCGCTCCTTCAAGGCGTTGATGGCAGCAACGATCATATCTGAGTACTTCGGGTGCTCTGCGGGCTTCTTCGGGGCCCTCTTGGTCGGAGCTTTCTTCTGGGATTCCATTTTTTTTTCTCGGATTAGGCAAAATATGTACGACCAAAGTAAGGCTGTTTTAATCAGCGTGAACTCGCTTCTGTTATTCTGAGAATGCCGCCACCGGTGACGCGTAGCAAGTCTATACTACCATTGCGGACGTTGCAGAAATCACTCATTCCACAGACCTCCCAATGCTCTCGACGACAAAATAAAATGGCGCAAGCGGTGTGATGTACTTGTTGGGTACCGAAAATGCCGCTTTTGTCACATTTCTCCGCACTATCATGACAAACTGAGGGCATATTTCAAAAGAATGATAAATTGCCTTGTATGTGTGATTGTATCTGCGCCCTTGCCATCTTCATCGACGTTGATACGTTCAGTAAATGTCGGGGCACGAATGTTTAGAAAAGCGGTGGTGTGAATTCGGAAACGTGTTGTAAATTTCCCTTTTTGTGCAGGTGCACGAAAACACCCTCAAACAAATCTCTAGAACTTAGTCTTTCACTGCCCTGTATGATTTAACCGGAAAACTTAGCCATTTACCAAATTTTTCTGTCCAAGTTAACATGACAAACACATGGAAACTCGCCAACCCAGAACTCTCCTCGCAACCGGAACATATGCTACGCGCAACTTTCTTCCATTCAAACCTTATTTTGGAGGTTTGCTCCCAAATTTTGTATCCTAACAAATGTATGCAACGGAAGAACCTATTTTATTATAAAAGACAATTAAACGTCAACGATGCAACGGGCAACTGGGCTCGCGCCTAATATCATAGCACTATGGGCGCGGCAGGATCGCAGCCGGCCGTCGCCTTCTATGTGATCGGTCGGTCAACTTGAGCGATCATGGGGAAATTTTCCAGCAGGATTTCCAAAGTTCCGTCAGCGTTAAGGGTTCTATATTCTCATTTCTGCGTAAATATGGGAGTTCACACAATACGGTAGCTATAATCTGCTATGATACACGTGAGATGTAATGAGGAAACTCATGAAAAGAAAATGTTATAGGCCCAAAGTAGAGCCGTAAACATGACATTTGCATTTGACGTCAGCCTGTGCATTTACTTCCAGGCTCTGTTGACTGTTTTATCAATTGGCGGTGACTGTGTAAGGCTGCCGTTGAAAATGAATGATTGGGAGGATGAAAAATAACGAAAGCTTTATTATGAGAAGAAAAAGATGTTCATTACACGCTAATTATCCTGTAACCTGAGAGCTAGTGGTGCAGAATTAGCTGAAGCCTGTAACTCACTGAGGTCGCATAGCCCAGCTCTTTATTAGTACTGTACATGGCATGCTACGTGTACTGTACAGGTACAGGTACATGTACATGTACGTAATGCACATCCGATCGTTAAGTTGATGCGGGGGCTTGTTTTTGTTACTACATGTAATTCAAAAGACCTGCAGCTCAGAGTGCAAAATGATTGGTTAAAACTCACGGAGCAAATTTAAATTCGTGCCTCAGAGATGACCTCATGCTATAGGGCATACTAGGACTGGATGAAAAGCAACAGTTGTGTTTTCATTACAGACATGCACAATGCACGTCCCCCTACTCAGTGTATGCGCAGGCCAGCACAACAAAGAATTCGAACGGTTCGTGACATCGACAAGTAACGTCGTAGTATTAATTATGATTGACAAAAATATACAAAGTAATTTTTCCCTTTCTGCTGGCTAAAAGAGTGAAAGTGAAAACAAGAGTATAGGAGACATAATTCTTGGCTGTCTATGAGACCAAACAAGGCATGAATAGCTCGAGATGAAGTCATTAAGCAGGACAAGAAAAATCACGTTGGAAAACGGGTTTATGGGAATTCAAGTTGGATCTGGCTACATTATCTTGGCTCAGTACCGCGTATCACAGGGCCAAATACCACTAAAATAAAAACCTAGTCCAAAAAGACTTGGTCCCGATTTTAAAATATCACCTCATGATGGGGATAAATGGGATGGACAGAAATGAGTAGCCGGGAGAAGGTGTCAAGACAATTGACACCCACATTAAAATCACAAACTAAATTTCAGCCCATTTCAGCAAACGTTTTGCCCACACGCATATTCAGATTGGTGCATTTCAGTTGTGTTCATACTGGGATTTGTTTTTCCCAATATCAAATTCAATTTCGGTTTCGTGCAGACAAGATTTTGATTTGGTTTGTCCTGTAGTCATCCTATTTAGTTTGGAGCATCTGCTGGGCTACAATTTCCCCGTTCTTGAAATCTGTCTTTTTTTTCATATGTTGCGATCATTAAAATAACTCATTGCGTGTGAAGCTTTTATCTTGGTTATTTTTTAAATATTTTCCCCTTTTTTGGGGGGGGTGTTTTTACCAGTAGGCCTAAATCTATTTCTCTGAGTGTTCTGTGATATGGATTACAGTATTGGAGTAGCCTCCTGCTGTTTCATTGCATTCAAGTTATTTTGTTGTGTGTGGTATTCTTGCTTCATCATAATAATTGCCGTGGATGTGGAAAATTCCCCTGTTTCCTTATTGCTTTGTTGTATCTATACAGCTCAGCCTGTCTCTTGATTTATATAAAATCAATTCCACAAAAGGTTTATTTTTTCTCTCACCCTCAAGTCATTTTATTTATATTTCTGCTGGCAGGGCTGTTCGAAACATTTCAAATTAAAATTAACAAAGTTTGTAAAAACAATAAGTACCGTAACGCAACTATACGGAAGCTTAAACGTCCATCTATGTTACTGAGTTAATTTATCGTTGACGATAACGTTTTGTGGAAACACATACATGTACTTGTATTTCAACTCTGAAATGTAAACTTCAAAGATAACATACATGTATCTTGGAAACATGGAATTTGAACGATAATATACTTCCTAAATCCGGAATTCAAAGATAATCCAACTTCGAAACTCGGAGTTGAATGATAATATTTTAGCGAAAGTCGGAATGCGATGATAAACCGTTTATTCGGACGTACACGGATAAACTTGCATGGCGCAGCGCAAAGCCCCCGTGACGTAGCTCCTGAAAGCCTGAAGCGTCATACCAACACGTTTCTGACGCAAGCGCGGATGGGGGAGGGGATGTTCCCCCCCAAATGAGGATTTTATTTTAATCAGAGAAAAGATATTAAGTGTCTTAAATGGAGGATTACTGTTTTGTCTGGACAGAGCAATTTTTGCTCAGGAAATAGCGTCTGCGTTGCAGTTTTAAATACATTGTGGCCGGTGCGATCAGTCAATGCAAAGGTTTACCAGGGAAGCTGCTTACTGGTCCCCCCACCCCCAAAAATGGGGTCTGGAAACGGACTGCATGCTATTAATCTTGTCCGATTTTTATCGTTTACATACCACGAAGGATTCTTTCATCTTTCACTTGGATTGATTAATACATGTATTACATTCTTTATAGCAATACAATACACTCCACTTTTAGTGAAGACCTCAATGGTATAACTAGGGCTCAAATTTCGGGGGGGTGGGCGGGGGCACGGACATCCGCTAACCCCCCCCCCCACCTGAGTTACGCCACTGAGGCAGAGCCGCGGTGGTACTGTTAGTCTGAAATGACCACGGGTTATTATGGGAGCAGCGCCAACTGTGGCTGAACCACTGCGCAGGTGGCCGTCTCTATCACACAGGTCGTACTAGTCTTGGATCCAAGACGCCTTCCGTCGTGCTGCGATCCCAGATTCGTGCTGTGTGCACTATTATTTTGCGCACTCGCTCTGCCCGGGGCCCTGTGGAGTGAGGAGCGAATGGGGCGCATAACTTATGCAATAATTAGTCATTGTGGCAGCGCTGCGCCCTCATTGATGCATGCCATCGCCCTTTCCACGCTAAAAGCCATTGTCTAATAATGGTTTGTGTGGCTGAATAAACTACAGGAAGGTCCTGGAAAAAAGACTAAGGTCGCACTTGTGAACTGTCTCAATGCTGTCTGAGCTGTAGCGTTCTTTTCCTGCGAATACACTTGTCTTTGGCTGCACTTTCTTTTCCTAACTTCAGATAGTTGGTCAGGGTACTTCTCCACCTGGAGCGGTCGGTTGCAAGATTGTCGATCCTTTAGTGTAATGTCATCATGATAGCAACCCCCCATAAATTTCTTTTTCTGTTAATTCTAATGTTTAACCAAATCAGTCCTTGTCCCTACACGAAATCGTCATTAAGGATCAACTCTCTGAAAGCTAGAAAAATTCATTCCTCTTGATCATATATAGAAATGTATATGGGATAATGTCGTGAATTCAGACCGGAGGGCAACCAATCTCCCTGAAAACTACATTCGGCCAAAAACGTCTCTGCGGTTTCTGGTCAGGAACTGGCCCCAACAGTGGTGCGGAGACGCGTTTTTTTTTCGTTGTACCCTCACTTTTTTTCTGGAAATAATGTACGTACGCGTGATGTCCATCGCGACTGCATGCGCATGAAACGCCGGCCGCTCCCAACACTAAAATAAACTGGCCCCGCACCTTTTGCTATTTAAAAGCATTTTCAGCTTGTAGATGTACACAGGACATAAGACATCTCGTTTGTCTGGTTCCCAGATGTAAATGTATAATACAGAAATGACGTCATCTGAAAAAGAGTGTTGGACTAAATGTTTGGGTTACTAGAGAGACTCCTTTACCGCACATATTACTCAACTGTATCCCATTAAAAACACGTTAAAATTACGCAGTAGTAGGATTCCAGTCGATTAAGAAAGTTTGGTAGCTTTTGGACATCGTTTTATACCAATTAAAAACATTCTTAGTTTGCCGACTCGCAGGTCTATACGGCGACGCGCGCGCTGACCAGAAACGGGGGGGGGCTTACTTGCAATTTCTCCTCCATTTTTGAAATTTTCCTTTCCATTTTCTGGATATAGAAAAATTAGCATAAAGAAAATGTATTTTATTCTTATACCTCTTTGAATGACACTTGATCAAATCATTCCCCCAATAGTCATGCATCGTTGATCAGTCAAAGATAACTGTTCATCTTATGACAGTGACTCATACACTCCATTGCTGCAGGCATCAAAGGCAGGTGTCCTGTGTGCTTGAGCGCATCATCTCTATTTTTTGTGCGTAATCTTCAGATGTGGCCTATGTTTTGTTTACTAGTAGACAGTGTTGTAGGCCTCCAGTCCAGGA